TGGGAAGAAAATAGTCTCTTTTCAAGGTACATGTTTTTCAATGGAAATATCGCGGTACTGTCCTGAAAGATCTGATTTGCCAAACTTAGTACAAACTTTTTGGCCGGATGTGGCAGGCGCTACACGTCTCACGCGGCAAGCGCTCTGTCGCCTCAAGCGGCGGGTGATATGCGTCCGCCGGTACAAGTGCACCCGTCACAGCCTCCCGTACCACGACACCCTCGCATCTCACGTCCAACTAAACTAAAACTATATCTCTATCGTGTTGTTTAATCCTGCCTGACTCTTTATTTATTATGCTCCAAGTAGTTTTAGATTTATTTATCGATTGTCTAATTTTGTCGCTGTGAAATTTAACCTTAGCAGCTACACATACTTTTTTAAATATTTTTGAATAAATTCTAACATATTCTATGAAATTGGAATTAGTATTATAAGTTTTCATGGCATATAGCTCATACAAACGAGACCGACTCTTATGAATACCTACTGTTGCCCAGTCGTTGAATTTAGTCTCTCCATGGAAAGTTAATGTTCTCGATTTAAATATATTATCAAATTCATTTTTAATTAAACCAAATATCGTGCTACATAAAGTATTTGCAACCTCCGGTGTATGGGGTAGGCAATTTAAACTATTGCCGAATGCATCCATAACTGTTTATTATACTGATTCAGTCTACAGAATTCAGTGAACTGCTTAAACTGTAATTTAACACGAGAACCACATGAATTTAAATTAACGTCACCAACGATTACAATTTTTAAGGTTGAGTACATGGTTACAGCGTTTTCCAGGTACGCCAATACATTAAGATATTCGCTTTCATTTTATCTAGGTGGTAAACAACCTACACACAACAACATTTTCACATGTTTCGGAGAAACAAAGCATTATCAGACGTTAAACTATCCATGTCAGTCACGTTGTTTAGTTTACAAGTGGCTTATACAGCCAGTAAAACCCATCCCCGACCAGCTCCATCAACTCGGTCCTTTCCAATCACCACGTATCCGGACTGAAACGGCATTAACTACAGAGCTATTCAAAGATATCTAAGTTAAGGCAATAACGCATCTAGAGTTGGTCCCACAGATGTTGTTATGGAAAGGAAGTTTTTTTCTTCGGTTGTTTTAGTTTTGCTAAAAACTCGAGTTAGGTTTATGGCTCGAGTTTAGGCGAAAGTTCGTGTTTGGGCCACTGATGATTCTGGTTTAGGCCACCGAGCCGTGCAAAATTGAGTCGAGGGACTCGCGGACTCGAGTTTTTTACAATACTAATTATGATTTGTATACTATCCGAACAAAGAGATGTCCCAGTGAATCTTTTGTTTGCTCCTCGGCGAATAGAAAGAAAGAAAGAAAGAAGGAAAGAAAGAAAGAAAGAAAGAAAGAAAAATAGTTTATTTGGTAACCATAATAACTGTAACATTGTCAGTGCCTCAACTAAATATATTTAGTGTAAATAGTAAAAGATAATTCAATGTTTAATATATTAATGCTTTGCTACTCTCTCAAAATAAATTAAAACAAGTATATAAGTAGTACCTACTATGTATGACACTCGCGTGCTATTATAGGACCCGTGGCCAGAAGTGGGATAATACCGATAATTGTGCTTGTCGAGTCAATGACAAAAACCAACAAGAAACCGGTGTTATATTGCTTTAAATCGCGTATATTTGTTTTTAAACAAACCAACGTGGTCGCGGCTGGCAGTTGGCTTGTTTGAAAAAACAAATATATGTAAATACCCGCTTTAGAACCGGAAAAAATTGTTTCATTTTCTATGTGAAACAATCGCTAAAACCTAAGAACTCGATAAATATTAGGAATTTTTTTCTTATTTCTCTTTGCTTTTGGCGGTAAGCGTTTTAGTCACTTACAAAGTGTTTGTTGAGTCAAAAGTTATATCGACTGTCAACTGACAACCGGTACTATCTCAGTTTTGACAATTTTACAGGTGAAGAAAAGAATTGTTTGCGTCATTTATATAGCATATGGTTAGAAGTTAGTACAAGTTGAATAAAGTCGATTCTGGGGCCAAATGTATCTGAGTCGGAATTTCTTGCAACGCTGCGGAGTATGAAATAGTATAAAATGGTATTAAAAAGTGAAATCTTTAGAAAATTTGAAATAGTACCGGTTGCTAGTTCACAGACGATATGTCAATTTAACTCCGTTTTGATGTACCTCGCGGCTTGTAATTAACATAGTTATAAATGGCCATACTCGTTTTATACAAAAACACATTTTGTAACACAACAATAAAAAACACCCACAACAAAATATTTGCGTTTCGAAGCTTATTAATAACCGAGCTATTGGAAAAGGAAACGTACTGTTCGTATTCATTAAGTCCATATTGTATTGTATACCGACTACGACCTTAGCGGTCCGATTCGCCTTTTGACATTCATTTTTTTTCTTCAAAAAAAAAGAGGCGACAGATCGAGGAACAGGTCGTTAAGAGAGCGTAAAAATATAAAAAAAATTTTTGTTGACCAAGATATAAAAAAGAAAGCTTCGATGGTTTGGTAACATGAAAAGGATGGGTGATAAAAAAACCACAAATTTATAATACGTATTGGTAAAAAAAAGGTATTGGTTAACCTCAAAATACATGCATCAACCATATTGACCTTAAAAGAAGCGAGGTCATAGTTATAGTTGCCATAAAAAAACAGGAGTGTCGAGATGTTTTCGCAGCTGTGGGACCATGGGACCATGAGCTCAAAACCAAATTTGTGCGATTTACACAAAAAACCAGATTCATTTTGAAACTAAAGTTTATAAAAATAATATGCGAATGAAAGAAGTTCAAGAGCCATACCAGGAGTGTGGATATGTGGAGGTTCGTAGTCTCTGCATACCCAATAAGTAGCAGTAGAGCGCCTTGTTAAAGAGTTCATCCAGGGAAGTACTGCCACCTTACCTATTTCTGCTGCCAAGCATTAAAGTCAGCATTACTGCGTTCCGATTTGGAAGGGTAAGGGTGCTAGTGAAATTACAGGAAATTTAAAACTCTGAGTGGCACTGTAACTGTTAAGGACAGGCGTGTAGTTTACCATCAAGTGCACGACTGGTTCGTCCCGTCACTTGATATTATAAAAAAAATTACCCATGGGAAAACAGACATAATAGTATGTGTGGAAGAATAGAAAACGACTCCCAAAGTCATGAAGTCCTCCTATTTCTACAAATCTAAATGAAATTCGTGATCAGTAAGTAGATGGGCCTATAAGAGTCGTTAGTTCATCAATATTCTTTTATCCAAGGGTTGTCTTTCCAATTTTACACAATACGCACACATGATGACATTTACTTGTCATTGAAGTACTGCACTTCTGCACACTTGCAATGAAGGTATCGCCTTCCTGTATAAATACAGGTATCATTATTTGCTGTTTACCTGCAAGGGACCTTTAGCGATACGTGTTGTAAGTAGGTATGTGAACACATTAGTGGGTTTCGCCGAGTATACACTGCAAATCCTTCGACAAAGGAATTTCCGAATACGTAACTAACGTTATGGAACTTTTCTGGATATCCCTACAGTCAATGAACTTATTGTAAATAAACCCGCGTTATTCCCAATTAAGTATATATATGTGTATTAAGCGATTTCGTTTGTATCGAACCCTAGGTAATAAGGTGACTTTTGAAAAGTAATTTTTGGGGAAAAAAACACGAAATAGAACTAATATTAGTATCGTTGTTTGATTTCATTGTAAAGTTACGAAGTTTGTAATCTACTTTGATACCTAGACCGTAGGGAGCTTTTAATCCTGAAAGAATGAAGCGGTGGGTAAAAACGTGTTTTGCATTTCAGTGTCATTGACCGGAATCAGATTCACAAGTTGCCTTCCAATTAGGTATAGCGCTTGGTGTGTCACGCCTTTAATGCCAAAGAAACAGACCTGTACAAAATAAATGGATTTTACTCAAATTGTAGAAACACAATTATCGATGCGTGCTTTGTTTATTTTCGGAAGTACAAACCACCATGTGACGGAACGAACAAGTCGTGCGCCAGGTGGTAAGCGACACACCTGTCCATAGCAGTTGCAATGTCACGCAGACTTCAAATCGCGAAGATCGGAGGGGCCCTGTCACTGAGTCCGTCACCGTGATACATAAGTTGACAAGTCCCTTGTGCCTGTAATTTCACCAGCACCCTTCAAAACCCGAACGTAATAATCCTCACATTACAGCTTGGCGGTAGAAATAGTTAATGTGGCAGGACTTCGTTGCAAGAAGACAAGGAGCTCTACTGCTACTAAATTAGCAACCATAGGTACTTTTGGTATAAAGGAACTTCTAGCGTAATGCCCAACCACAATACAGCGACCAACATACATACATTAAACGACATCGTTGTTTCTGTAGCCAAAATATACTTTGTATTCTAGTAATAAATTTGCTTTGTGCCAACATCACAGTTTTCTTGGAACTACGAATTAACTCAACGTTCAAACAGACAGTGACAGAATTCTGCAGTACCCCAAACATGGTTACGTTAGATCGGCAAATCATGTAAATTGGTTAAAGGTACCACAAGGCAATGTTTCCTTTTTCTCGAGCTTTGGTTTGTCAGGTAGCAAGCATAACTTAAAGGTTTAGAAACTTATCTAACTGCCTTGTTTCCATACTATACATAGCAACTAAGTAGTCGCCTTGCGATAGTTTTGGCAGTGGCATCCGTTCTAAACAAAACTTAGATAAATATTTGGCTTTTCGTGGTCAATGCTCGGTGACTCAAGCTTCTCGTGTTCATCCACTGTTATTCCACTTGTGGTTTTTTTGCTATATTATTTTTGGGTACCTATTACTAATTTCGCAAATGTTGTTGTAGTTTGCGGTTTAATGATGCGACTTATAAATAACAAGAAGGTGTTAGACGAACCGGTAGTACAGTATTTGTAATGTTGACATACGAGATGACTGGATATCAGAATGTTATTAGGTAAATGAAGTAACAAAGCGTTTGTTGTCTTCAGATTCCGTTATGAGTGCGAAGGTCGCTCTGCGGGGTCAATTCCGGGCGTCAACAGCACGCAGGACCGGCGGACGTACCCCACCATCGAAATCTGCGGCCACACTGGCAAGGCCATTGTTGTCGTCTCCTGCGTCACGAAGGAGTCTCCATACAAGTAAGTGAATATTTGCTTTGCCGGCCATGCTAATTTTGTCGAGTGGTGTGATATAATACTCAATACCAAACAAAGTCAAAGTTCATTTATTCCATATAAACTTAAAGGCTATGGAATACACTTTGAATCAAATATGTGTGGATTCTGGAGCCGTGTCGTCTTTCCATACATCTTTATCCAACTTCTATCAGCAATAATTACATACAATAAAAATATTACACACAATAAAAATATTACAGCAAAAACCATAAAAAATCTTTATGGTTTTTGCTGTAATATTTTATGAATTTTTTAATTGTTCTTTTCAAATTTTTAATTTTATTTTATAAATAATTGTAGAGCAACTCACAATGTCGCGTCATAATATTTCTAAGCTTTTGTGATATCCTCTAATTGGCATTATGCACTGCTCATGTAACATTATTTTTTAAGTACTAAATGTATGCTGTTGGATGTCCTTTAATAAATAAATAAATAAATAAATAAATAAACACGTAGTCTACAATTTTGTAATATGACTTCAATCAAAATATTTTTAATGTAGTTTTTAAACTTAAAAAATGATAATCTTAATATATCCTCCGGAATCTTATTGTTAAAACGTATACAGTTCCCCATAAAAGAGTCGTTTACCTTGGTTAAACGAAATCGTGATACCATGAGTTTGGACTTATAAAATATTTCAGTAAATGTACTGTGATGCCACAGTTATGGTCTCAGTCTCCTTAAACTTTTATCTGAGAGAAACCCGAGAGCCTAGACGGTACACAGAACTAATCGCTCGTTTTTGCAATACAAATATGGTTTGAATATCTGCCGCTTGAAAGGGTTGTAACCCTAACAAGCCGTGACTAGGTTCACGGCAGTAAAACAGAAAACTTCTGGTCCACACGTTTATTTAAAGTCGGGTTAAGAAGAAATGGTAAGAAAGAAGTAAGGCTGTAACAATAAAAAGGTATATAGAGAAAATCAGGTACATTAATATAAAACACTACACTTCCTAACTTGATGAAAAAGATATTAATTAGCACTTACCCCTAAAAGGGCCGAGTTAGCCTGAATTACAGATAAGTATTCATAGGTACATGATAATGCTGTAGACTGTTATACAGTTATTAAAATTGACACATGATTTAGATTATATTATAATGATTATAACTTAGTAAAAGAATCGAAATTAGACGCGATTGAATTTAAACAGCTCCGTCCGCTGTCGCGATCGAGCAGGGAGTGACGATGAAACGAAACAAAATCTGAATGTGAGGCAAAAGAATGGAACAATTCAAAATTTAAATACGAGTGGCCAGGAACCGGAGAGAGGCGATAAAAAGGTGGGATGACGATGCAAGGAGGTCACTCCGTCACACGCTTTACCCCAGAATCCTGTAGGACATTGTACTACGGAAGTAACTAAAGTAAACTAGTCTAGCAGTACTAACATCGGTAAGCTCACGTATTCTGCGGACTGAGCATGCAGCGGAGCTTAATCTGCTGGCCAGGGAAGATATATGTGGAAACCATTGAAGTTGACTATTTAAGGTCACTCCCAAGATGACTGCTTTATTAACAAGGTCTAACTTTTCTCCGTTTATTTCTATGCTTGGACGATTTTTCGTTAGATAATTAAATTTAACACATTTTGTCTTCTTGGCATCAAGCAATAAATTGTTAGCATTAAACCAATAAACTACCTTAGAGAGAGTATAATTAATATAACAATAATAATAATAACGCACACACTCAACATAGCCCCGCACTAGGAAACCCTGTGTCGCGGGTGCCATGGACACACACATAGACAACAATAAATTACACCCAAACTCACGAGAGAAATAAATGTAGGCTATACAAATATATCTCCCGACCCGGGTATCTAACATAGAACCTCTGGCTTGGCAGTCTGGCATGGTAACCGTTCGGCCACGGAGGCGGTTATATATATTATATGGTCATAGTTAATGTCATATTTGTCTGTTTTAAAAATCAAGGATGTGTCGTCAGCAAACAATACTATTTCGCAATAGTCCTTAACAAGGAATGGCAGATCATTAATATGAATTAGAAATAAGAAAGGTCTAAGTATTGAGCCCTGCGGAGCACCCATTTGTACCACAGAACCCAAAGAAGTCACTCCATTTGTCTACTTTCTGAATTCTACCGTTAAGATATGACAAGACAAATTCTGGTTCCTTGCCACCGTAATATTCCAGCTTCCTAATAAGAGTAATATGGTCAACGCAATCAAATGCCTTTGAGAGGTCACAGAAAACACCAGTAGCGTTCTGGGACCTTTCCCAAGCATCAAAGATGTGTTTTAGTAACGCTACCCCCGCATCGCTAGTCGATCTACCACTAGTAAACCCGAATTGTTCACTATGAAAAATATGATTCCTACCGAAATAGGACCATTTGTTCATGAGTGCCATAAAAAACATTGGGCTCGTTTATATAACCGCAACAGCATATGGTCTATTCATACAACTGTCATGTCCAATGTCTGAGGGTCGTATTCCAAAACTCTACTCAATACTCAAGTCAGGACATGAGTATTGCAGTGAGCACTGAAAATCATACTCGAAGTCCTTGCCATTAGGGTCGTATTTCCAGTGCTTGTAATCATACTCAAGTCTGCTCAAGATCTTCCAGAATTCAATGTCCGCAATATCGCTGATCCGACCCACTGTGTCGCAAAGTTAAGGTAAATTTAGTGTAGCTGCCTGTCCCCAATTACGTACATTTTTAATGTACTTAAGTGATTTCCCGAACAGGTCCAGGACCTAAAAATATTGTCGTAAGGCGGTCTCCATTTTCTGTCTATGTTCCTCGAAGTTTAGGTAAAAAAACTCTACCTATTCCGATGCCTTCTCATAATAATACCACGATTTCGTTTAACTAAGGTAAACGATTATTTTATCTGTATACGTTTTTACAATAATATTCCGGAGCATATATTAAGATATCATTTCTTAAGTTTAAAAGTATTATAGTAAAAAAGAAAAAGTCCTGTTACAAAAGTGAAGAGTATGTGTTAGATAAAGATGTATGGAAAGACAACGTGAGTCTAAATTCCCCACAAATATTATTCAAAGTGTTATTCCATAGCATTTAAGTGTAATTGAAACGAGCAATCCTTCTTCAAATTCTTCTCTGGGAGGTCAGTATAGTGCATAAAAAAAGAACGTTTTCAAGCATTGACTTACAATTATATGGACGTCGGGTCCGCGCTAAAAAGTGTCCGCTTATAGGGCGTTAAAATCGTATACAGAGCGTTATTCACGCTTTAGTCTTCGTCTGTTCGACTGACAGCGAAGCAAGCAAAATTAGACAGTACTGCGATGACATTACAATTTAAATTCAACGTTTTAGCTTTTTCATATTCCTTTACATGTCACTACGTTTAAATAGGTTGACTTGGGACATTTTTTTCGTGGTTTTTGTATTAGACCCGTCGTCCATTTATTTGTAAGTCAATGGTTTTCAAGTGTAAAAGTTTTACCTATGGAATAAACGATTGACCGGGTAATGTACGTGATGATCTGGTAAACCCCTTCAATGTTTAACTTTTCCGGCAGACCACATCCCCACAACCTGGTTGGCCGCGACCGCTGCCAGCGCGGCGTGTGCACCCAGCGCGTCGACGTCACCGCGGACAACCGACTCGTCACCTTCTCAAACCTTGGCATACAATGCGTCAAGAGACGCGACATCGCAGAAGCTTTACGCGTACGAGAAGAACTACGCGTTGACCCCTTCCGAAGTAAGTGATAGCGTTGGTTTTTATTTATGCATCGGGATTTACTTTTTCTAGTCGCCTTTTTCCACTGTTCGATATTAGGTGTAGTTGTGTAACTGTTTTCATGGATTTATGTAAACTGTAAAATGTAATAAAGACGAAACTTTGGATACAATTTTATCGGAGCATAAGCGTCGAAGTAGCCACTTCAATACTCCTGAATTATGGCTTACGGGGGAAACACAGATGGCAATAGTGTGTTCTGTTCCTTTGCTATAAACATCAGTACGGATGTGCTTCATGTGAATGTCTCGGAGTGTTATTTGATATTATACGTGTAGAGTTCATAGGTAATTAAAGCAATTTTCAAATGTTGCGCAGTGTATAATCTGCATCGACTCAAGCAAGACTATATTTTTTGGATTATTCGCCACTAAAAAAAAAGAACGCGTGTCTCAAAGCAATCATCATTAAATAGAATCTATACTCGTAATGAAAAAAAAATCTATAATTTGTTTTCGGCTAATATTAATCGTGCAAAAATGTTGTTCAACTCATATTTTGATTTGAATCCGCAACGCAACAGTGTATTCAATTATATTCTAATTAGAGGTAATAAATAACATTTTCACGAGAATAATAGACCTCTGCAATTATGGTCGAATCCCTATGACTACCTCTCGAAAACACTGTGATGACACTTGTATATCGAAAAAAATTTACAACCCCTGGAAAACGTGTGTCCTAAATCCTCTACTTAGATTACTACTAAGATTGCAATAACTGCCTCCGTGGCCGAACGGTTACCATTCCGGACTGCCACGCCAGAGGTCCCAGGTTCGATTCCCGGGCCGGGAGAAATATTTGTATGGCCTACATTTGTTTCTCTCGTGAGTTTGGGTGTAAATTGTGGTTGTCTGTCCATGGCACCCGCGACACAGGGTTTCCCTAGTGCGGGGCTATGTTGAGTGTGTTCTATTATTAAAAAAAATTGTGATATTTACAATTAGTTATGTATTTACCTGAAATACAGGAATTTCCTAGTTCAGGTACATGTGTTATTTTTACATTAAATCGCATAAGTAGTCTTTAGTTTTCTCTGTACATTATGTTACTGAATAAACAATTTTATTTATTTATTATTTATTTATTTATAATGTTTTCAATGTTTACAGAAATAATAAAAATATTTTATTACGGGTAAAATATACGCGAATCTGACCTCCGTGATGGAAATTGACAATGAGGTCGATTATGGAGCATCACACCTATATAATGCCTATTCGCTCTTGCCTTTAAGGCCCAAGTTATAACGTTCATTCAACAAACCTGCAAGCGGGGAATTCCACTCCGTATTTTCTTGAGATATCGTTTTTATAATGGCTGACATGTTCAATAGCGATCAAAGCCTCTAAATAAATGAAGAGTTAAAAAAAACTCCGTACACCGTAAACGTGGAAGTGTAACGCTTCGTGCGCATCTTGTTTTTATCCGCAACTTAGGGGTGGAAGTCTAGCATGTAATTCCGTCGTACAATCTCCGTGATTTATCCTATAGAATACTGAAAAGCAGCATAGCTCCTTATACTGCCACATTACCTATTTCTGTCGCCAAGCTGTAATGTGAGCATTAATGCGCACCGGTTTTGACGGGTAAGGGTGAAATTACGAGCACATGGTACTTGTCGATTTTTGTCTCAGGGTGACGGACGCAGTGGTAGTGCCCCTTTGTTTTGAGTGGCACTGCAACTCTCATGGATAGGCGCGTCGCTTATACAGCTTCTACTTGTAGAAACTTCGGACTGTTCAAACCAGAACGGTATCCAACGGGTTTATTTCGAACGCATTCGTCAATCTCGAAATCTGGCAATCGCGCGGCGATAAATCGTAATTGCCTATCAATCATTAAACGGTCCGTACGGATGGGAGGGCTGCGGACTACAAGGTGTTATGTTACTGCACTTTACGACGTTTTTATAGTGCAGGAAGCTGAGGCGCTTTTGATGCTGCTTGTGATCTCCTTGCCACCGACTGTGGTACTATAGGGGTTTCTATTTATTAAATTTCCATGTAATAGAATTAATAATAAATTACCATGGTATAGGCAGACAATGACTATCCATTAGCTACGTTCCTGATAAACCTCATTGGCATTCTGCCCTCGCATCAGTCTCTTCATATATGCACGTCTGCGTGGGCTTTTTTAAAGACATTCCCAATCTAATCGAGATCACTACAGTAGAGAGAGTCACTCATCACGCTCAGGGGTCATTGAAAACCAGTGCCACATTCAATTATGGCTGTGGCATAAGCTGAATGAAGTCCTTTTGCGTATACGCCACAACCGTACAAATTACAGTACAATATACATTGACGACTAGTCGTTTTTTTTTTGTGTTTATTAATTTTTTTATTTTGTGTTGTTTGTCTAAGTGGTTTAAATATTTTTTTATCTATGTGGCGTTAAATAAATGTCTATTCTATTCAGTATATATTTTAAAATTATCGGCATATACTAAAAACCTGTAGTGGTGTAGCCTAGACTTACATGTTGCTAGGCAAATACGTGTTATGTCTTAACTATTTAAAGATATTTTCATAAGCTGTATTGAAAATATAAAATACGGCATTTTGACTTCAATTTTGTATAATTATAACTCTTTTATTAAAAAAACCTACTTCAAAAGTTCATGGAATTACATCAATTTGCCAAGTTTTATTTAAATCGGTTACCGGAAAGAGCGCGAAGCTAGATTCATCCCCAAATTTACCACCCTTAGAGGTGGAATAATTTCTTCAAATTTAAACGGGACCAATACTGAGGTACCCTCTTTCCAACAACAAAAGAATCATCAAAATCTGGTCATAAATCGCGTAACATACACAAAAAACATACAATCGAATTGAAAACCTACTCTTTATTTGAAGTCGGTTAAAAATACAAAGTACAAAGTCATTACGGCTAACGGGACACGGCGAAAGTATTTGAAATACCAATTACATTTTTGGGTAGCAATTGGAATACAACTACGTATTTTGCATTTCAATTGCAAGTAATTCAAATACTCGTACTGTCCAGTCCTGCATGAGTGTATGACGCTTACAATAGTTTACGCGTTGTAAACAGGTTATTTACAATGTATCTAGTGTTAATTGCAATCGGTATACGATCTCACTGCGAGACGGTGGCTTGTATTCGGACTAGTCTCACCGCAAGATTAATAAGAAAATTACTTGCATACGTATATTTGTTTACGCTTTTGTATTCCCTTTGGGGTATGTTCACCACTTTGCACGGTCTTGATAAACTTGTTTAACATTGACAAGTCTTTCATACAAACCCTTTTATCCTCCTCCTTCGTGGCCGTCCTGTTCCAATTTTGCTTGCCACGTTGGCTTTATTTTTTTTTTGACATTTTTTTTTATATCTATATGTATTTCTTTTAAATACCACTCTACCTTCATTCATCCGCTTCGTGTGGCTAAACCACCTCAAAATACATTTCTCTATTTTTGTGTCACTACGCTCTCTTTAAAACCACGTTGACTCGCAGTATTTCTTACTCTGTCACATTGTATATATTTGTATGGACCACATTTCTACTGCATTCACTCTACTCGCGCGCTTCTTTCGTCATACCCAACACTCCCGCCATACGACAGAGCTGGGACCAACACTGCATTACGCACTCGCATGGATACGTGCCTTCTAACATACGAACTGACTGTATATAATATACAGTCATATTTATTTGAGTCATAGGATCGATCATTAGATTTGGTTCACCGTAGGTAGGTGTAGGTTCGGTCACATACCGCAACCACGTGGTGCTGGCGTACCTAGCGAAGGTAGCAATATGTCTATTTCTGCGCGGCTATTTCGGCGTGCGCGTGCGCGTTACCGCATGCGGCGATGACGCCAACCGTATAATACATATTGTTAGTTAGATCATTGAAAGTGTTACACATCTTTACGGACAGACGTAAAGCTGGTAGGCAAAGACGACGGAACTCCATTTTCTTCATTCGAATTAGGCCACACTTTGGTTGATAGCAGTTGCAGTGCCACTCAGAGCTTTAAATCGCAAAGTTCTGAGCATGTGCATGTGCCGTAATTTCTTACCCAAACCCTTCTTAACCGGAACGCAGTAATGCTCACAACACTACTTGGCGGCAGCAATAGGCAAGGCGGCAGTAAAGACTTTCGTAAAACGAAAATAATGAATGTAAATTAATACTGTAAATATTCTGAAATTGACTCGATCACGTTCGACAGTTTAGTTTCAACTTTTGTTTTTAAAGGAAAGTACACACTTTTGTTTATAGTTTCTTTTTGTACTTGATTTTTGTGAAATTAATTCACAATTACATTTACGTGAACTCAACAACGTTTCTGTTACCGAGTGGATTCATTCTGATTGTATAAGATAAATATATTTCCATTATAACTTAATCTAATCTAATTCAATATACAATTATATCCGACAGAAGAAATCGAAAATATTCTTAAAATAAATTAAAAACCATATACTTATTTATAAAAAATTATATACTTGCAGTTTTATATTTTCGTATTCATAGTCCTTTTTAAATGTTTATGTACCGGTTATTATCGTAGGTATATACTTATTGTAAACTTAAATACCATGAAGCCTAGGTCATAGATAGCGCTGTTGTCAGTCGCTTTTTCCTTTCCTCGTCTGCGAGTTTCACAATATTGTTAATAATGCGTCACCGATGTTTTTCCTATAAGGAAACGTATAAAGGAAACGTTTAGAAGAAAATTATCTTTGTAAAATAAATTGAATAGCTGATGCGTCGATAGTGTATGTTACAGTTACGTATACAAGGACTTTGTTGACGCCGGCTGTTATTTCTGCATAGTAACATTAGGTAAAGTTAAAGTAAAATTATAGCAAAAGATTTTAGCAGTTTAATAATAATATTAAGGTAATAACCACATAGACACTTCCGAGATAGCTTCGAAAGGGTAAAGTTTCCGGAGTCGTGAAACCTATTTAAAAAAAAATACGGAGGTCACTGCTTGGCCACTGATATCACAAACAGCGAAAAGCAAAAAAAAACGACCTCAAAAGTTCTAGGAGTTGCATCTATTTGCCAAGTTTTATTGCAATCGGTTGCCGGAAGGTGCGCGAAATCGGATCCATCCCTTAGTTTGTTACTTTAAAATTCCACTTCTAAGGGTGGCAAACTAGGGGATGAATTTGATTTCGCGCACTTTCCGGTAATCGGTTGCAACAAAACTTGGTAAATGGATGTAAATTGACGAATTTTTGAGGTCGATTTTTTTTAGTACTCTGTATTGAGGTTGTCTGTTTTACTTTCACATAGATACAAATATATTCTAGTGTCATTTATTCAAAAGTGTTCTAATCTGTATGATTATTATTGTAGAAAGAATAACTAGTTTCAATCCTGCACTCGATAGTCACGTCGAACCGAGTTTAAAGCCTCCAGCGTCAACCGAGGCTTTGCTACCGGCCCGCACAGTAATCGCGCGTGCGCCTCGCTATTCCCCAGCGGGCTACGCCCACCGCAACCAGCCGCAGAGCATCGACCTGAACGCCGTGCGCCTGTGCTTCCAAGTGTTCCTGCCCGACGAGGCGGGCAAGGTCCGCCACTCGCTCGAGCCCGTGGTGTCGGAGATCATCTACGACAAGAAGGCGATGACCGACCTGCAGATCCTGCGCATCTCGCGCTCGTCGGGCTCGGCCCGCGGCGGCACCGAGCTGATCCTGCTGTGTGAGAAGGTGAGTGGGGGGGCGGGGCGGGGGCGGGGCGGAGGCCTGGAAGCCCCGCCTGACGCCTGACGGGCGACTGCCGGCAGGTGACGCGCGAGGACGTGGCCGTGGTGCTGTACGAGGAGCGGCGCGAGGTGGGCGCGGGCGGCGGCGGCGCCAGCTGCGTGGTGTGGGAGGACAACGCCACCGTGGTCATGGTGCACAAGCAGGCCGCCATCGCCTTCACCACGCCGCCCTACCGCGACCCCGCCACCGGCCAGCACGTGGACGTGAGTGCTTCGCCTTCGTCCCCCCGGCCGAGGGCTGCAGGCCTCGCTGACGAACGGTGCTGCCCGGCAGGTGTTCATCCAGCTGAAGCGGCCGTCGGACGGCACGCGCAGCGTGGGCGTCCCCTTCACGTACATCCCGGAGTTGCAAGGTACCGACCGCCCGGCGCGCAAGCCCCTGCCCGACCTCGCGCTGCTGTCGCTGCTGCTGGCCGAGAAGCGCGACACCAACAACAACGACAAGGAGGCCCTCGTCAGCTCCACCAGCGACACCGCCGACCCCTCGGACGAGTCCGGCTCCGCGCTCATAGCCGACCTCAACGGCAACGTCGAAATCATCGACGAGGCCGAGCCGGCCGACGTGGTCGCCTCGAACGAAAAGAGTCTCAACGACCTTTTGGACCAGGTCGCCGAGCTGGACGAAATCTATTCCGAAAACCGTACGCGCCTAGAGAACGTGTCGACCCTTAACGACGACGTCGACATGGACCCTGACGACTTTAACGACGCGGGAACGTACACTAGTCTGCAACTCGCTTTTAAGAACCCGATACAAATTTCCGAACCGGAGCCGTACGAGGACGTTCAAGTCCAGACGTACCGAGGTCCCATTATAGAGTTTACGTCTCTGAAACAGATCGACGATGACGAGAAAGCCCCCCCCTTGCCGCCTAAAAGGGTCCGTAAAGCTACTGAGCCGTTCAAAACTAGTCAAACTTCTGTCGATAGCATCCTCAAACCCGGTCGCCAGATTCCTATAACCCGAATCCCCGAGGTTGTTAACCGCGATCGTACTGAATTATCGGTAGCTAGGAGCGAACCTGCGTTACCCCCTGTAAAGAAACGTTCCTTCTTTTCCCGTTTGTTTAGAAAGAGAGAAAAGTCCCCAGCCCCGAGTGTAAAATCCGAAGGAAAGAAAGAGACGAAGAGCAAACCCGTGTTTCGTTCCGTTAGCAGCGTATCGGGACAACGCCCATCAAAGTTCAAGTCGTCGGTATCTCATACTTCGTTAAAGGACAATGCGTCCACTACGGGGCTTAGCTACGCGGACAGCGTCACTCATATATCGTTACACGGTGATGAGAACGAAAAGTCGACTTCTCAGACGTCTTTGAAGCGACCGGCGAGTCTGGCTCCGATGCCACCGACCGATGGCGGTACCATCCTTGTAGCTGAAAGTGTCCTGGCATTGGACGCTTCAGCTTTTAAGAAACTGCAGGATGACCTAGACTTGACGGAAGCGGAACATTACGCTCTATACATGGCGGTGGCGCCGCACGCCACCGCGTCGGAATTCGATGAGACGAGTTGCTATTACTCGCCTGTAGATGGCAGCAAATTCCAAAATCAATAAATCTTGGTCTGCAAATTAGCGGTCTCCGAATTACCCCCAATATTTGAGCTAAATCGAGATTCCCATACAGAAACTGCTGTTTTTACCAACGCTTACGACTTAAGAGTCTGTACAACCTCAAATGGCTTTACTTGATTCCGCATAAAAGTGAAACTGTTAAATCAAACCTTTTAGTAGTATAGTAAAATTGACGATATACTCTGACTAATGTAGATACGGTGTGAAAACACGATTCAACTTCAACAAATCACAAACTTTCCTCGAAATTTTACAAGAAAACAGCTGTACTCAAACCAATGCCTTTTTATATCAACTTAACTAAATAGAACATCTATACTATACGATCATTGACTTACAATTATATGGACGTCGGGTCCGCGCTAAAAAGTGTCCGAACTTATAGGGCGTTAAAATCGTATACAGAGCGTCATTCATGCTTTAGTCTTCGTTTGTTCGACTGACAGCGAAGCAAGCTAAATTAGACAGTACTGCGATGACATTACAATTTGAATTCAACGTTTTAGCTTTTTCATATTCCTTTACATGTCACTACGTTTAAATAGGTTGACTTGGGATATTTTTTTCGTTGTTTTGGTATTAGACCCTTCGTCCATTTATTTGTAAGTCAATGTATACGATATACATTTTTCAAATAACTTAAATTTCGTTTGTAAAAAAAAAATTTCAAATAAAGCCAGTGCCCCTGCCGCTCGACCTTAGCAAAATGAACCGTATTAGTGCGGGAAACATTTGAATTTGAGCTGAGATAGTATCGACTCTTAATCGGCGCTAAACTCAACACACCAAAGTATTTTCGAATCTTAAAATCTAGTCTATAAGTCTAGTCTAAAATGGCAAACCAAAGACTTAAAAAGTAACAAAGCTCCGCCCTTAATGCCAAATTTTAATAACTTTTTATAACAATTTTTTTCAGGAACAAACGATCTTTTGATTTTTACTGTTTTTTTGTCATCAACTTCATAAATGAAACATTTGTCTAATGTGAAATTAATATGTTATAGATACGAAGCGGAGAAAGATGCTTAATTCGGCGCTCTTGCGTACCATTGACCAAGAAAGTAAGTTGTTACTTCTTGTCTTATATTGTTACCATGTGCACGAATTATTCATTCAAAAATTTGGATTT